ACTCTCACTCACTCTCACTCTCTCTCTCACTCTCTCTCTCTCTCACTCTCTCTCTCACTCTCTCACTCTCTCTCTCTCTCTCTCTCTCTCTTCTCTCTCTCTCTCTCTCTCTCTCTCTCTCTCTCTCTCTCTCTCTCTCTCTCTCTCTCTCTCTCACTCTCTCTCACTCTCTCTCTCTCTCATACTCTCTCTCTCTTTCTTATACTCTCCCTCTCTTCCTCATTCTCCCTCTTCCCCCTCTCTCCCTCACTAACCCCCCCTCCCCCCTCCGTTAACCCCCACGCAGTCTCGTAAACTGGGGTTAGTGGTCCGTAGGGTTTACCAATTTCGCAAGACGGATGTTGTAGGGCATTTTCTCTCGATTACTTTGGCGCTGTTTTTCCTTCTTTTTTAAACTCCGCGGATGGTTGCACCCTTCATCCTTTTTCTCCCATCTTCCCTCCCTCCACCTATAAATGTATGTCTGTGTGCGTGTTCCTTCGGCTATAAACATACATGAGCATAGACACGCACACGACTACGTGCAGCCTCTGCGTGTTGTATCTGAGCAAGATGTAACTCAACAAGGCGAAGCATGTAACGCTCAAAGTTAGATTACCTTCCGGGGTGCGGGCGAGCATAAGTGATTCCTGGTCGGGGCGGAGGCTCTCTTTTTATCTTTTATCTCCTATCTCTCTCGTCTCGCTCTTGTAGCTCTTCTTATTTTCGAGTTCTTCCTGGCGCTTCTCTTGCCTCCTGTGCGGGCGCTTCCGTTTGTGTTCTCTCCTTGCCCCCACATTCCTCTCTTCCTCTCTCCAAGTGTTTTATTTTCGAGGCTTAGAGAGTGTCTCTTCTTTCCTGCTGTTCCTCTGTTTTATGTGTTCCTCTTCCCCCTCCGGTAGCTCTGGCTTCCCTGTCAGTCTCTCGTTCCTCTTCATCCCTCGGAGAACCTCCCCTCGCCACCGTCAGGCACCGAGTACTAAGTTCCTGTTGTTGGGCGGGAACCTCAAGGGAAGAAATGATGGGGTAAACGAATCAATCTTTAAAATATGGGTTTATCTAGGAAATATGAATAGGAGGGGAAATGGGCAAAAAAAAGACAGTAACGAAGGGAAAAAAGAGGAAGAGGGAAGATGAGATGGTCGTGAACAGGAGCAGGAGCATTTAGAGAAGCGTAGGTAGAAGCAGAAGTAAATGAATTCGTGTAAAAGGACTTTATGAAAAGTCGTAAGCCGGACCATCGCCACCTTCCCTCACGCAGTTTACGGCCCTGAGGGCTGTAGAATCGGCCCCTCCGGGTCTCCTTCGGAGTGTCGTGGCGCAAGGACCAGCTGGAGAGCCAGCGGGGCGCCACCTGTCTGGTTCCTTGCGGTTTTCTTTATTCTCCATTCGTGACTCTTCTATTTTTCTGTCATTATTAGTTGTTATGCTTTATTTTCATTTTCTCATTTTTCCGTCTTTTTTTTTGTTCCTCATTATCTTGCCTTTTGCTCGTTTCCTAGGTACAAATAGGAACGCAAATAAGTCGTCGTGCGGAGGACAGGACAGAATGAGACATCCTTATGCACGTGGATGTTTAGGCTATATTCCGCGGAGCAAAAAATCGGAGGAAAGTGTCTCGGGTTCATTAATTAGCATTCAGGCGGCGGCCGACCCTTGTTCCTCGGGCCGGCGCTCCTGCTTGGGTGGCCGGAAGTTCAGGGAACATGTGACGTATGGCTGTACCCTGCTGCTTCTGCCGGACGGATTTCTTTCCGGGCCCGCTGTTCACATTTCAGTGTAGCTGTGCTCTCCCTCTCCCTCCCTCCCTCTCCCTCTAGCTCCCTTTTTCTTTCTTTCTTCTCATTTTGTCGCTTCCCTCTTCACTCTGCTCTCCCTCACTCGCCTTCTCTTCTCGTCCGCTCTCCTCGCCGTATCTCTGCCGCGGTCCTCTCCCCCTCGTAGATGGACCCAATAAGAAGATGGTCTTTACATCATGGCTCTCTCTTAAACCTGTCTTGACTGGTGGATGTAGATTGTGCGTTTGGGATGGAGGATGTGGATGATTTAAGTGGATGAGCGCGGGGCATGATTGGCAGGCGGGGTATTTAGCATGGCAGATTTGCAAGATGGCAGCGTGAGGGAGGTTGTTGGAGGGAGGGGATTGTTTGATGGAGATGCTCTCCTCGGAGCGGGAGGAAAATATGGATTATTATTGTTTATTTATTTAGTCGGCCACGGGCGGGAAGGCGAGCGGAGTGGGAGCAACGGCGGACGGGCGTGCGGGCGTGCGGGCGTGGGTGAGTGACAGGTGCTTGACTGGATGGCTAGAGGGGCGTGCGCGGGGAGGGGGGGCGGCTGTGGGTGGCCTTGATCCAGCGGGCGGGGACGAGGCCGAGGAGACCACCCCGCGGTTGGCGGGGCGGGCTCTGGGTCCTGGCGGCCGCGGTCTGCGCCGGGCGGCTGCCGCTCTGCTGCTTCGCGGGCGGCGGGCCGCGCTGGCGGCGCGGACAGGTGGGCGGGCGGGAGGGCGGGGGCTGCCTTTTTATTCGACTTCTGTGTGGGCGTGCGATGGAGGGATGGGGGTAGGGTGTGTTTTGTGTGTGTGTGAGTGTACGTGTGTGCATGTGCAAGCGCATAATGTATGCATGTACCCCCCCCCCCTCTCTCTCTCTCTCTCATCTCTCTCTCAATCTCTCTCATCTCTCACCTCTCTCTCCTCTCTCTCAGGTCTCTCTCTCTCTCTCTCTCTCTCTCTCCTCTCTCATCTCTCTCTTCTCTCTCTCTCTCCTCCCCCCTCTCTGCCTCTTCCCTCTCTCCTCTTCCCCTCTCTCCTCTTCCCCCCTCTCTCCCTCTCCCCCCTCTCCTCCTCTCCCCCTTTCTCCCTCTCCCTCTCCCACTCTCTCTCCCCCTCTCCCCCCTCTCTCCCCGTCTCTCTTCTCTCCACCTCTCCCGTCTCTCTCTCTCTCTCCGCCTCTCTCTCGTCTCTATCTCTCTCGCCTCTCTCTCCGTCTCCCTCTCTCTCTCCTCCCTCTCTCCCCTCTTCTCTCTCCCCTCTCCCCTCTCTCTCTCCTCTCTCCCCCTTCGCCCTTCTCTCTCTCTCCCCTCTCTCCCTCTCTCTCTCTCTCTCCCCTCTCCCCTCTCCCTTCTCCCCCTCCCTCCCCCCTCCCTCCCCCCTCCCTTAAAGGCAGCCAGGGCAAGTCTCGGCGGCGGGATGGCTCTCGGCACACACCTTGCTTAATGATATTGATGAAGATAATGTTGCCGTAATCAGTGCGACGGTAATGCCGGGACACTCGAGGCTCTGATGACAGCGCAGACAACGCCGCCGCCCGTGGAAGCCTTGCCTCGGCGCTGGGCGAAAAGGGCGGATTAGGCCTTGATATGATAGCGGATATCATGGCTCATTAGGGGAGGGGCGGTCTCGCTGTGGCCGCTTTTTAGTCATTCAATCTTATTTCTTTCAACCAGTTATTTTTGCCCCCCTTCTCTTCTTCCCTCTCGCGCCTCTTTTTCTCTTCTTCCCTCCTTCCTCCGTTCTCATTTACCTCCCCCCCTCCTTTACCTATCTCAATTCCCCCTCCCTTCTTCCCTCCTCCTCCGTTACCTCCCCTCCTCCTTTAACTTCCTTCCTCCTCCTCCTTTACTTCCCTCCCTCCCTCCTCTTTTACTTTCCCTCCCTCCCTCCTCCTTTTCTCCCTCCCTCCTCCTTTACTTCCTCCCTCCCCTCCCTCCTCCTACTTCCCTCTCCTCTCCCTTATCTCCCTCCCTCCCTTCCCCCTCCCTCGTCGCCGACAAAGGACAGCTGATAGCCGTCGCAGCGCCGGGTCGAGGGCAGCGGCCGCCGATCTTGCCGATCTCAACTGTTGATTGCGGTGGTAATGGCGGCAGCGCTTCTGGTGCAGTGAAGGGGGAGGCGGGTAGTTGGGAAACGGGAGAAGGGCACGAGATATCAAGGGAAGAGGAAAGCAGAAATGACGAAGGGAGAAAGTGAATAGAGGAGAGAGACGAGAGGGAGCTGAGTGGAAAGCCGAGAGGAGCGTGAGGGACAGGGGAAGGGAGAGCCACAGTGGCATTATAAAGTGCCACTCGCTCCTCGCAAGGGCTCCAGAGGGAAGAGTCGGCTGGAGGGTGCTGGGGAGGGAGGGGGAGAGGGAGGCATGATGAACACTTCGCTAATTACTTTCGTTATTTCGGTATCACCCCGATGAGTGTTTCCGAAGAGGGAAAACGAGGAGGAGAAAGAAACGGAGAGCGGAAAAGCGGCGATGGAAGGCGATGTAGGAGAGTAAAAAATGATAGAAAAAAGATACTTTAAGGACAAAAATCGATAGATTTAAGAAAAAATGCAGTGCGAGGAAAAGGGGCCCGGGAAGTGTAGGCTGACGAGTGCAGTGTGGCGGCGTCGGTCTCCCCGGATGAAAGGCGGCCCCGTCCGGACTCATGGGGAAAGGAGCCTCTCCATGACTCATCCATGAAGTCCTTCCATTCTCATCAGTTTCCATGACTCATTACCTCACGCGTCACTTACCCACCCCCCTTCCTCTCCCCCTCCCTGCTCGGCGTCTCTCGCGATGAAGTCCTTTTAATTAATGATTTTTCCACGCTTTTTATGTGAATGGTTTAAGTGCGTTCCTCTCCTGGAGGTGTGGAAGTGGAAGATTTTTAAAGCGCCCTCTCTCTATTTAGGGCTTCCCTTCGGAGTTGGGGAGAAAATGCCCAAATGGTCATATCACCCATCTCATCATAAGCATCATTAATAGAATTAGTATTAATATTACGATTGCTATATTATTGTCATAGAAGCTGCAGTAGTAAAGCTGTAATGGTTATCTTTATTTATTATGATAATCTTTATCATTGCATATTGTTGACTGATTGTAGTCCGTTTCTTTCGTGCAATAATGAGTTAATGTGCTGTTTCTTAAATGTTTATGTATCTTTCCTTTATTTCATTTTTAGCACCTCATCAGCATTTCATTAGGACATGAAGATCCTAGTTTTTTAATCATCGTTCCTAATTCCTTATTCTCTGTTCGCAGTGGGTTGAGGAGAGCTTCACGCAGTTTGAGAATGGCATCAACTGGCGGTCGTATGTGGTGTGCGACGTCGCTTACAACAACGTGAACAACTGGCTGTGGACGCCCTTCATCGAGCGCGGCCCCGCCAACCGCATGTACATCGAGGTCAAGTTCTCCATGCGGGACTGCTCGCTCTTCCCCGGCACCGCCCTCTCGTGTGAGTAGTATTGCGCGCCGGGAAGAAGGAAGGGGGAAGGGGGAAGGAGGGGAGGAGGGAAAGGGATTAGGGGAAGAGGGGAAGGGATGGAATGGGAGCAAGGGAAGAGGGGAACGGAGCAGAGGAAGAGGGGGAATGATGGAAAGGGGAGTAAGGGAGGTGACGAAAGGAAAGGGGTGGGGAGGAACGGGAGCAGAGAAAGAAGGAAAAAGAGGGGAAAGGAGGGCGGGAGGGAATGGGACTTTGGGAGGGGAGAGAAAGAAGAGGAAGGATTAGATGGTTAGGGAAATAGGAGACAGATAGAAGGAAAAAAGAAAGGAAGAGATAAAAGTTGGGGGAAGATGGAGAGTGAATGCACGAGTAGAGAAAGGAAACCCAGGAAAATGGATAGTCGCGCGATGAGTTAATTAGCAGATCGAGAAATAGGTTAGTTGAGAAATTTGTGAAATAATGCACAGGTAGAAAACGTAGTTGACAAGCAAAAGAAAGAAAGTGAATAGAAGAATATAGTTACTGCAAAGGCTTAAAGATAACGGAAACTTAGATGAATACAAAAACATACAGAGCCGAAAGTTTGGCAAGTTACAGAACACGAAATATTTATTTTTATTTCTCGAAAAAAAAATTTAAGGTCCGTAT